GGTCTAGTACATTATAACTATGTATAATCTGAGCTGGAGATTGGTGCTGATCTCTGGGGTATAGTCATGTAACTTGGTAGGTCTAGTACATTATAACTATGTATAATCTGAGCTGGAGATTGGTGCTGATCTCTGGGGTATAGTCATGTAACTTGTTTTAGTTTTTGTATTTTGAATTAAATAAAAACATGTCAGGAGAATTTGGAAGCTATGTGATTTAAAAGTCTTATATTTACAGAAATGTAAAAGTATAAAATAAACATGTCTTAAGCCTATGAAAGCTTTGGTTGAAATTGCAAAATAACATGATTAATATACATTTTAAATAACTTGACAGGTGAATGAAAGGGAATCACATATATTCAACAAGCGTGTGTTGTATAAAAAATTTTCTAATTTGATTTATTAGCGATGCATATAATTTTTATGGCAGTATGTTAAAAATTAACTTAACCCTTTCCAGGCATGCTATAGTGAGGAGTTTGGCTCATTTTGTTCGGCTGCAGTTTTTTGCCGGCCATGAAAGAGCGTAGTTAGTTTTGTTAACAATAGTTGGCATGACAACAGTATTGCAAAAGGTTTATTCGCGTCAAAACATTTTGTAAACGAGATCCACATGATGCTCAGAGACTGGAAAACATAGCACAACAATATCCAGTGTTCACTGAAACCATTCATGACTGTATGGATTGTAATGAAAGAGCAGTAGGTGTCTGTGATAACGGAAACTTGCATGATGGCACACGACTGACACATGAAGGAAATTACCACCGCACCCATTTAATGTGCAGTCACTGTGGAGTATACTTGTGTCTCAACAAAGATAGAAGCTGTTTGAAGTTTATCATACACATAGACAGTATTGAATGTCATTGGCTGTATTTGCCATAAGTACCTCAGTATTCATATTCTTTTATCTTACTAAGTTTGGTGTCAGTATTTGTTCTGTTGCACTGGACAACAATAAAATCTCATAAATATTCAGTCTGGAAAGTGGTAATATTACTCTTTCTTTACAGATGAGGGTTATTATTGTTATAAACTGGAACATGAGTAAATGGTAAGTTTAATGGAACACTTATCTACTGAGGTGTACGGCTAATCAGCGAACATGGTGGTAAACAAAACAATGATCTGAAGAAAACATATATCATATGACATCCCCCTCCCATAAATATGTTGGAGGGGGGTTGCCCTAACAGGATGTGAAGTTTGATTGACCTTGTGTGTGTGGTGTGGGTTTTTGATATCCATTTCTGGCTGGGGCTAGCTCCAGGACTATAAGAGAAGTTTAACTATGGTAAGAAGTTAATATTGTGATGAATTTTTGAACACTTTATTCTAAAAATATTGTTTTACTATAGACTTGTATCTCTGTTGGATTCTCATGAAATTACATATTGTTTTACTGTAGACTTGTATCTCTGTTGGATTCTCATGAAATTACATATTGTTTTACTATAGACTTGTATTTCTGTTGGATTCTCATGAAATTATCTATTGTTTTACTGTAGACTTGTATCTCTGTTGGATTCTCATGAAATTACATATTGTTCTACTATAGAATTGTATCTATGTTGGATTCTCATGAAATTATCTAGTCTACAGTAAAACAAAAAACAATATGTAATTTCATGAGAATCCAACAGAGATACAAGTCTATAGTAAAACAATATGTAATTTCATGAGAATCCAACAGAGATACAAAGATACAAGTCTACAGTAAAACAATATGTAATTTCATGAGAATCCAACAGAGATACAAGTCTATAGTTTGTATCTATGTTGGATTCTTATGAAATTACATATTATTTTACTGTAGACTTGTATCTCTGTTGGATTCTCATGAAAATACATATTGTTTTACTGTAGACTTGTATCTCTAATATGTAATTTCATAAGAATCCAACAGTTTTACTGTAGACTTGTATCTATGTTGGATTCTTATGAAATTACATATTATTTTACTGTAGACTTGTATCTCTGTTGGATTCTCATGAAAATACATATTGTTTTACTGTAGACTTGTATCTCTAAAATTACATATTATTTTACTATAGACTTGTATCTGTTGGATTCTCATGAAATTACATATTGTTTTACTGTAGACTTGTATCTCTGTTGGATTCTCATGAAATTACATATTGTTTTACTATAGACTTGTATCTGTTGGATTCTCATGAAATTACATATTGTTTTACTGTAGACTTGTATCTCTGTTGGATTCTTATGAAATTACATATTATTTTACTGTAGACTTGTATCTATTTTGGATTCTTATGAGATTTCTTATTCTTTCTTAGCTCATTTTTGATGCTGATCCTGAACAGGTAAGCTCCCAAAAGTTTTATTTTAATTATATTATGTATAGACCTGACTGAGAATTATAGTGAAAATGTACTGCTGTATACAGTATATATCATGTATTATAGTGCTTTTACCAAACTGAAATGTACTATCCTACTAGTTTCAGACATGACCCTCATGGTTAACAGACTGTCCTACTGGCTTCACACATAACCCTCATGGTTAACAGACTGTCCTACTAGGTTCAGACATGACCCTCATGGTTAATAGACTGTCCTACCAGCTTCACACATAACTTTCATGGTTAACTGACTGTCCTACCTGCTTCACACATGACCCTCATGGTTAACAGACTGTCCTACTAGGTTCAGACATGACCCTCATGGTTATTAGACTGTCCTACCAGCTTCACACATAACTTTCATGGTTAACTGACTGTTCTACCTGCTTCACACATGACCCTCATGGTTAACAGACTATCCTACCATGTTCAGATATAACCTTCATGGTTAACAGACTGTCCTGCCAGCTTCACACGTAACCTTCATGGTTAACAGCCTGTCCTACTAGCTTGAGACATGACTCTCATGGTTAACAGACTGTCCTACTAGCATCAGATACGACTCTCATGGTTAACAGACTGTCCTACCAGCTTCACACATAACTCTCATGGTTATTAGACTGTCCTACCAGCTTCACACATAACTTTCATGGTTAACAGACTGTCCTACCAGCTTCACACATGACCCTCATGGTTAGCAGACTGTCCTACCAGCTTCACACATAACTTTCATGGTTATCTGACTGTTCTACCTGCTTCACACATGACCCTCATGGTTAACAGACTGTCCTGCCAGCTTCACACATAACCTTCATGGATAACAGCCTGTCCTACTAGCTTGAGACATGACCCTCATGGTTAACAGACTGTCCTACTAGCATCAGATATGACTCTCATGGTTAATAGACTGTCCTACCAGCTCACACATAACTTTCATGGTTAACTGACTGTCCTACCTGCTTCACACATGACCCTCATGGTTCACTGACTGTTCTACCTGCTTCACACATGACCCTCATGGTTAACAGACTGTCCTACCAGCTTCACACGTAACCTTCATGGTTAACAGCCTGTCCTACTAGCTTGAGACATGACTCTCATGATTGACAGGCTGTCCTACTAGCATCAGATATGACTCTCATGGTTAACAGACTGCCCTACTGATTATTAATGAAACATTTGACCTAAACAATGCTTCTCAGTGTTTTCCAGTATTTATGTGACTTGTTACAAACTAAATGTCTGGTTATGACAACAAGTATAAGTTAGGAAACAACAAAAGAATGGTTGTTTTTAATATTTTGTGATTAATGTATTTAGATTTATTTGCTACACAGTAGTATATATAATTTGTCTGACAAACATTTAACTGTGGTTAAATGTTTCACTTAGTTAAAGTTGAAATGGCAAATGTTACATCCAGCATCACTGTTTTAAGTTTCTCTTGGGAGTTTATAACTACTGACCCTAATATGATTGCTCTAAAAGTTAGAAGCCATAGAAATATACTAGTCTCTATTCATTTAATAATACATAAGATCCTAACTTTATCATAATTTTAAAGCTGCATGCAGTTAATAGGTTATTTAAATGTGATAAATTAATTATTACAACTTCTGTATTCATTTAATAATACATAAGATCCTAACTTTATCATAATTTTAAAGGTGCATGCAGTTAATAGGTTATTTAAATGTGATAAATTAATTATTACAACTTCTCTATTCATTTAATAATACATAAGATCCTAACTTTATCATAATTTTAAAGATGCATGCAGTTAATAGGTTATTTAAATGTCATTAATTAATTGTTACAACTTTGAACTGGATTTATAATACACTTTTTTTTGTAAAATGATTGTGAAAAAAAATTACAAGACTCAAGCATAAAGTACTCACAACTGTGAAATTCCAGTAAGACTGATTTTGGTATTATGTTTAACATTTTATGTGTGTTATATGTTAACTATTTAAAGTATTTTGATCTGTAATAAAATATTATGTTGCTTTCTTATCAACTATATTTTCCTAGAAGTTTTTCTTTTTGTGTCAAGAAAATGTTAATTGCTGAATAACTTGGTCATTTAACCCTTTCGCAACAGGCTAGGTATAGTATACACAAGTTCATATACACATTTGCACACGTTAACTTTTTATACTATAAACTTTAATTCGTTATGCGCATTTTCACAAAATTTGGTATACCTTTAATAAACATTAGAAAAGTCTTTTTTTTTACTATAGATTTGTTTGTGAATATATCGAAATGTTTCGTTATTAGTCATAGTGGAAGTGATTTTCATGTTATGTTCAAAAATACTATTTTTTCATCCCAAAAATATCAAATTTCTTTTGTATAATCTTTAAAACTTCCTAAATACATTTCAAACATTTTCGATGACAAGGAACCCACTTTCAGACTAATAATGCTTGGAGACGGCTTGAATGGATAATGAAGAAAAACTTTAATATAAGTTTAACATAACAGCAAATGTACAACGTTTCGACAAGGTTTTGTCATCATCAGGTACTATAGGTTTCATATTAGATACTGTGAATTGTCATTTGTATTTTGTTTTATAATGTTCTAATCACTCCCTAGGTTTCATCTTGTGTACTGTGAACACAAGATTTGTATTTTGTTCTATAATGTTCTAATCAGTCCCTAGGTTTCATCTTGGACACTGTGAACTGTCATTTGTATTTTGTTCTATAATGTTCTAATCACTCCCTAGGTTTCATCTTGGATATGCTGAACTGTCATTTGTATTTTTGTCCTATAATGTTCTAATCACTCCCTATCCAAGATGAAACCTAGGGAGTGATTAGAACATTATAGAACAAAATACAAATGACAGTTCACAGTGTCCAAGATGAAACCTACTGTGAACTGTCATTTTTATTCTGTTT